CTAAACTCCTGGAATCCAGTTGCAGAGAAGGAGAAGTGATGAGCAAAGGGGTCAAGAACAGAATGGAGAAACCCACAGTAACAGCTGACCTGAACAAAGGGGGAGTTCATAGACCCCAGACTGATAGCTAGGGAAACACCATAGGACTGACCCAGACACCCTGAACATAGGGTCTCAGTTAGAAGCCTGGGTAGTCTAAGGAACCTCTGACAGTGGAACCAGGATGTATCCCTGGTGCAGGAAAGGACTTCAGGAGCTCATTCCCCATGAAGGGATACTCCCTTAGCCTAGAGACAGGAGAGAGGGCCTAGACACTATTCCAAATGACTTGACAGATTTTGATGATCCCTCCTGGAAGGCCTCACCCTCCCTGGGGAGTGGGGGGGGGGATGAGACAGGGGCAGGAGGTTGAGGGGGGCATAGGAGGATGGGAGGGAGAAGGAACTGGGATCAGAAATGTAAAATAAGAAAAAGTATTTCAAAAATTATAATTAAAAAATGCTAAAAGTAAAAAAAAAAAAAGTTGTGTTACAGAATGTGGGGGGGGGGGGAGTAGAAGAAATAATAAACCTGATTAACAGGAAAAGTATGTGGTATGCCAGAAGGTACAAGTCTTAAAAGATAAAATGGAGCATGGTACAGAGACTAGAAGTAGGAGTATAGTTTTAAATAAAACAGTCATTTTAAAAAATGACACTTGAATAGAAAAGGAAGAGAGTAAGCCATGAAAATATCTTATGGGGAAAGTGATAGAAGAGTAATGGAAAACCTATAGCCCCTAAGCTAGGCAGCTGGTGTGAGGTCAGCAGCTAATCTGAGGCAAGAGAGCTGGAGAGGGCATGCTCAGATTGTATAAGGCCTTCCAGGCTGTAAGGGCTACTTTGAGAAGTGAGATGACCTGACTGCTGTGGTGAGAAGACTGTGAGGAGCAAGGACTGAAGCAAGGAGACCAATTGGGAAGACAACTTCAGATAGCTAAGCAAGAGGTGAGATGCCTTGGTCCAGGCCATTAGTAGCACAAAGTGGTTATTAGGACAAGAAAAATCAGAGAATGTCAAGCATCAAACAGCTAAGTCAGAGATAACTCCCACGTTTCTGTCACGCTGTTGGATGAATGGCATCAGCTATCAATGGGTTCGGCAGCATCAGAAGCAGGTGGAGGAGCACAGGGAAGCTCAGTTTGAGTGGAAAGACCTAACACTGAAGTACTGAAGGAAACCAGACCAGACATATAAATAGCTATTTGAGCCATGACACTGGATGAGACTGCCAAAAGAATATAAAAAGAAAGTGAACCAAGGATTGAACACATCGACTTTTACAGGATGACCAATAAAGAAAAAGCAAATTAGTGAGGATGGAACCCAATATGCAGAGAATCCTGGAAGAAAAGGGGTACAAACAAATCGCTTTACTGAAACCAGACTTAACCAATAGTTAAAAGTTCTCAGATGGAGAGCTAGGTACGAAGATGAGCCAGCCAGCCATTCATCACTTGCCTACCACATGTGAGGCCAGTGTCAATCCTCAATGTTGGGGGGATGGGGTCAATAAATGATATGCACAGTAGTAGAACACAACATTTTAAAGAGCTGAATGTCTCATATACCTTTCCTGGGAATGTTATATTTCCAATCAGAATTTCCACCAAAACTATTTTTTAATCCAAAGTTTGTCTTGCTTTTTTTTGTTGTTGTTGTTGTTTGGGTTTTTTTGTTTTGTTTTGTTTTGTTTGTTTGTTTTTTGAGACAGCGTTTCTCTGTGGTTTTGGAGGTAGTCCTGGAACTAGCTCTTGTTGACCAGGCTGGCCTCGAACTCACAGAGATCTAACTGTCTCTGCTTCCCGGAAGAATGCTGGGATTAAAGGCATGAGCCTCCACCCGGCCTGTCTTGTATCTTCGCATTTAAAAGCAATTAAAGCCCAGAGGAGTCTGGTATACTACTAGAGAGGCAGCTGCAGAAATAGGAACCTCTGTGAGTTCAAGGCCAGCCAGGGATATACAGTGAGTCCCTTTTTTTCTTTCATTTTAGTACCAAAGTGTTTTGTGAATTTATTTTATAAACTTTATAAGTTTTATAAATTTTAATTTTAAAATTTGTTAATAAAAACATCAAATGCCAAAATTAATTAAAGTCTGTACAACTTAATGAGCTTCTATAGTTAGAACTGACTTTCAAAATGGAAGTTGTGAAGCTACATATTAATTTTAAACCTTCAAATATATTTCATGTACTTATGCACCACCAAAAACAAAAATAAATCCATGACAGAATTAGAACTAGAAAAGTAACGGCTCTCACAACCTCCATCACGACCACGTCCACCACCTGCACTGTCCTCCCTTGTCCCCTTGCATTCAGTCTTTGTTCTCTTGCTTTCATGTTACTGTACACTGTTTACATCTATAATTACTATACACTAGACTCCACTTAAAAGAGAAAACATTTGGTTATTCTTTTTTGAGATTGTGCAAACTTGAGTACTACTACACATTCCAAGTCTATCCATTTCCTTGCAAATTTTCTGACATCATTTTTCCTTAGAGCTGGGTAGTATTCTATTTTACACAGAGACCTAATTTCCATTATCCTCTCATCTGATGATGGACAACAAGATTGATTCCAATTCTTTGTTATAATGAATAAACATGAAGGTACAACTATGTCTATGGTAGAGACTAGGCCCTTTCTTTTAAAGCTGGGTGGGGGAATAGTTTAGCTTAAGTTCACAACCTTTCTTATTTTTATTTTGGAGACAGGATCTTACTGTGTGACCTTAGCTGACCTGGAACTGACAGAGATCCACCTGTCTCTGGCTCAGGAGTGTTCAACAGTATTTTTAAAGTGAAATCAGTTGTCTTTCAACAGTATCTTTCAAAGACCCTGTAAACACCAGTTCATTCACCTGACAAACACCCCAAATTATGTTCCTAGGAACAGGAGCTAAAGCAGCATGAAGTCACACGAAGTCTGCTCATACATAAGTGGTCACTGCCACTTCGAGACAGTTTCTTCTAGTCTATGGATATCTTGGGTTTGCCTTCAAAGTACTTTAAAAGCACAGACAAGCACATAAAGGGTTACTCTCAAACATCTAATGTTCATGTAAAGCATTTTTTTTCTTGCATTCCCTTCAACTTATGAAGTTAAATTCCTAAACCAGATTCTCTCTCGTGGACCCATCAAGTTTACTAACTTTTCATTTTTTCAAAGTACTAAAGATCTTTTTTATTAAAATTTTGCTATAAGAAAAGCATACAAATAATACACATTCCAGGGCCAGAGGTGTCACTCCAAAGCAGTGTTTGTCGGCATTCTCAAGATTCTTGTTTCATCCCAATTCGCCCCTCCCTGAAAAAACAATACATCCTCCAAATACTTCAAGTAAAAGTCCAGCTAAAACATGACCAACAACCAATTTTACCATGGGTCATTTACAAGTCTCAGAATAAGCTTTACTCTTTAGGTCTGTAGAAACCCTAACAAAAGAAAAGTTAAAACTCAGATATTAGAAAGCCTGTGAACTGCTTGCAGTGAGTGGGTTTGGGACAGATTTTGATTTTGTTTATTGGATTCTGTTTGTAGGGGAAAACAACAAGACTTAGGGAGGACACAGAACTAACCCAACACAATAAAAAAACAAATGCCTCTTCATAATGCTGACAATAACTCAAGAAAGGGATATACTGGGTAGCCTTGATGATACTGGAGTGTTTTAATACATTGGAGGAATTTTTCCAATAAGTCCTGTTATATTTTAAGTTTCAGTCTGTCTCAGAGTAAAGTAGAACACCTTATTCTCTAAACGCACCTGATAATTAAGACACTTATGTCTACTGAGGGCTACAAAATTAAGAGACGTTTCTAACTCAGGGTAAGCATGGGAAAGAAACCTATATAATTAAGCCCAACTATTTCATGTAAGATCCCTAAAAGAAAGGAATGGGGGAGAGGCTTATGAAGCAACACATCAAACACTGTGGGACACACAAAACACAGGTCAGCTGGAGTGCCCCAGCTCAGCTCACGGGAAGATTATTCCAAGTCTCAAGCCACACTGGAGCCACTGTTCACTGGGTGAGATGGGGAAAATAAGTGCAACCTAATTCGAGCAAACATTAAAATCACCCTAAGTCACCTGCTAACACAGTGCAGTGTTTCGTTCACCTCTGGGGTGTTCCTCTTTACCTGGGCATGGGGTGTAAATTTCTCACAACACCCTACAACTCTGAACTGTCAGCCGTAGCTTTTGGAGCTATACTTATTCCAATAGCTGCTTCGGAATCCGATCTAGTAGAATCTGTGTCTGTTAGAATCCCGGGTTCCTCCTCCTCCCCGAGAAGAACCGGCTGACACTAGAAACAGCCCACTTTCTAACCTAATCGAGACGCAGCCGGACAAAGGAGAGGATGCTGCTCCCCTCGGTCCCGGTCCCGGGGGGCCAGGCCCGGTCCCGGACGCCCCGAATCCCATTGTTGGGAGCTGAGGCGGACACGCCCCTGGGAGGAAGGGAGGGAGGAGGGAGAACTTCGCGGGATTTCCCCTAACTCGGCGCACCGGGCGGTGGGAGGGGCCGCGCTCCGGGACCAGCGAGAGGCGAGCGGCTCCAGCATGGCGCACGCGTGGCCGGCCGCGGCCCGGGGCGCCCGGAGCAAGGCGCTCCCTCGGTGCACCCTCCTCAGAGCCTTAATCCACCCGGCCTCCCGGGGCCCGCGGGCCCGGCTAAAAATAGGCTCCACAGTCACCCCGCCGCCCGACCTCGCCCTCGGGAGACAGCCCCGGCGCTCCGGGCACTGGCGGAGCAAGGGTCGGGCCTCGCGGCCCGGGGGAGGCCGAGGCGGAACCCGGGAGCCGGGACCCGCAGGCGGATGCTCAGAGCGGGCCAGCGGCGGCGCGGCCTGGGCGGACGCTGCAGACTGCGACCCCCGGGCCGAGGCCTAGCAGGCGAGCGCGCCCCGCGTCCGAGCGCACGGGAGGAAACCCCGGGGCCCTCTCCTCACCCTGCGTAGCCGGGAGCCGGGTCGGGACGACGCGGCGGCGCGAGCTCTACAGCCCGGTCAGCGCTCCGAGGCCCCGCCGCAGTAGCTCAGGTGCCGTCGCGCCGCCCCGCAGGAAACGGGCGGCTTCGGGGCGGGGCGGCTCCGCACGTCCGGGCGTCGCGGCCAGAGGGGCCCGGAGACCGGCCCCTTAAAGGGACAGGCCCGCGCGACCGGCGGCCTCGGGATGCCCCCACACTGGCCTGCGGAGACGTCACCCCACAGCCTTTAAGTCTCTATGGAATCCCTTCAGGGACGCAACTCTACTCTGCCTCCCCGCCCCCCAACAACCATCCGTCTTGGTCCCACGTGACTCTCGCTCAAGAGTACCACTTGGCCCCGACACCGGATAATTCCTATTAACCGTACTCAAAGTTGCTAGCCATCACACACACACACTGGGGCACACACGCTCGGCTGTGCTAGCCATCACACACACACGCACACATGCTCCGCTGGGATTTCTTTTAACCGTACTCAAAGTTGCTAGACCTCACTCGCACACACACTGAGCTGGTATTTCTCAGAAATCAACAAAAAAAAAAAAAAAAATCGAACGCTCCCTTTGCTGATTATCTAATAAGAGTTCTCTCTGAATTCTCCTTGGAGCAATCCTAGCTACAGACCGAGAGAGAAAGATTAAACACCGCCCTAAATAAAGTATGTACAAATACTGTGAGTGCAGTGTCTGCTGGCTGGTGGCCATTCCTTAAGCCAGGGGAAATAACGAGAAGCTGCAGCGCAAAGTTGGCCACAATCCCCTCTTCTCTTTGTCCTTTGCTGCCAGGATGGAAATGGTTGGTGCAGTGTTGATTTTTAGTGGTTAGTTTGAATTACTCTCTCAGAGAATGTCAGTCACTGCCCAGAATGTATCTTCAAAATACTCGACGTTCTTCTCAAAAGTTACTAAAAGATTCACTCATTTCTGAAATGTGGGTAGAGATACAGGAATCAGACTCACCATCACCTACCTGCGGACCAAGGTTAAATCTTAAGGATTTGAGCTGCAGATAGGTCTCAACAGTAACAGAGGCTGTAGTAACATTGTAGGCTAGTTACAAGAATACTGTGCATCTGTGTTCAGATAATTTCTGTCCAAGCTCTCCAGAGCATCTCCAAAGCAGAAAGAAAAACGGAAGCAGACGCAGCAGCAGTCTGATGAGGTGTGGAGAATTCTGCCACTGTCTGATCACCACTTTCTCCACAGCGACATTCTATCATATTGTACCCAAGGAGCCTACTCTTCTTTTTCTCTCTCATAGTGTTACTCAGCCCTCAGCGACTCTGAGACCAGAAAAAACACTTTATTTCTGAGCGGCTGTCTCCTGAGCCTGTGAATGCCAGGAGATCTGGCTTTGTTGGGAAGTGAGACTATTAGTGGCTTAATACAAAGTGGAACTGTATCATATCTGTCATGGAATTTCAAGGTTCTTGAATAGCTTACAAACAACTCTAATTACCCAAAAAAGGGGGAAAGAAGAAAAGAAAAGCATCTGATTTTAGGGGGGGAAAGACATCATTTTACACACAAATAATACTTAGGTGCATTTGTTACACAGTAAAATGGTCTTTAGGGAAACAGTTCTCTAAATGTACCACTGCTTACAGTCGATAAAGAAATATAAATGCATCAACTACTTCATCTTTTCTAGATGAACTTTGACTTTTCAAAGGGAAGTGGCTGGATGCTTCATTCTTTATAAGCTTTCTAATTGCTCACATCAAAACAAAAAGATTTTACCAGAAATGTTACAGATGGCAAACCCTATTGGGATTTAGGATCAACCCTCTAAGTTTTGAAGTATAGTAAAATGTAACATAATTAACTGTAATTAAGACATATAATTAACCTAAGTTATAACTACCTTTGCTGATTACTACCCACCAATGTTGCCAGAACCCACAACTAACTTGCTAAAAGGGATTCACACTCAGCATTAAAATAACCAAGAAATGAAACCTTATTGAAAGTTGTAAGTTATAATGTAGCTTCCTAAAGATTATTTCTCCCTCACACACACACAGTTTACTGCTTTTAGCATGTATCAATTTCCATCTTCCTTGATTGTGAAAAATATTTGAAGACCATTGCTGATTATTGCTGCAACATATGAATGAGAGATTGTATCTCCTAACTCCCCACCTCTGGGAAGACAGAGATGGGCATACATGTGAGGCAGTGCACAGAACTGGGATGGAGGATTTTAGGCCCACCTTCTCTCAAATAATGAACTAAGAAGGCTCTTAGAAATTTCAGCTGCAGATTTACCCCTAACCAACTCCTTAAACAAAAGAGTTGAACCAGGCAGTGGTGGTGCATGCCTTTAATCCCAGCACTTAGGAGACAGAGACATGTGATGGCTGTGAGTTTGAGGCCAGGTAGTCTACAGAGTGAGTTCCAGGACAGCCAGAGCTACACAGAGAAACCCTGTCTTGAAGAAACACACACACACACACTCACACACACACACACACACACACACACACACACACAAGAAGGTACTGCATAGATGGGAGTCTATGATGTGCCCCTTTCATGGGTAATTTTTTCAAATGTGGCATGCAAGGGCTTGAATAAAAAAAGAGGGTCACAAGTCATTTGCCACTCTGAATATATGTCCCCATTCTTGAATCTGGGAGGGCTCTGTAATAGTTATGACCAACTGAGTGTGACAGAATTAAAAGTATTCCTAGTTTCAGGCCCACATTGTCCACTCACTGTATCTTGGAGCCACTAATCTTAGAGCTCTAAATTGCTTCTAAAGAAATCTCACTCCATGGTGTGCCTGTAATCCCAGCACTTGCAAGGCGGAGGCAGGCAGATTAGGCCAATGTGGTCTACAGAGTGAGTTCCAGGACAGCCAGGGATACAGAGAAACTTGTCTTGAAAAAGAAGAAATCCCACTCCATTGCTGAAGAGAGCAACTCTAGAGACCCTGAGACTAGATGAAGAGGAAAGTGGCTCAACGGGACCCCCAGTCTATCAAGTAACTGTTCCTTCCAAGTTGCCACATTGCTGAATGAACCTTCCAACAACACCATGACCAGCTGTCTCAACAGTTTTTAAAAGCACCTTTTAGTACTTCTTTATATTGTTTAGGAAATGTCACACTTTTGAGAAGAAGTAGATCCCAAGCTCTGTTGTAAGTCATTATTCTATGAAGGCTACAGAATGAATTTTCTGGATGACAAGACCCATGACTCAGAGTTCTGGCAGTCAGCCCTCTGGCATCCTAAGGGACCTCGATCCATCAGCGATGCCCTCCTGGCTCTCTTGTTCCTGTGCTTTCACTCTCCAGCTCTCTCTGACTCTCAGTAATGTGAGAGGTGCTAACCTGACAGTATGTTCTCTCTACCTATTTGGTGCCCGTCTTACTGCAATTTGCTTCTACACCCACAGCTAGATCTTTCCTGTCACATTCCTGGTGACAGTCATGCCGCATCTTACAGTTCATCTGGTAGAACCTCTCTGTTATGTGACACCACAGACTGTTTCTTGAAAAGCTCCTCTTTCTTTGACTTCAGTCATGTGGCCTTTCTGAAATACAAGATGCATGGCTTCTGAGATGGGAACCCATTTCTCAGCAGAAATATTCATGCCACAGCTAAGGCCTGAAGTATTTACCAGAAGAAGCTGGCATGGGAAATGATTGTTAAAGACCCAATTCAAGTGATGAGGGTGATGAACAAGAGAGATGAGGGTAGCTTGCAACACTGGAGTTTTGCTCTACAAGGAGCAAGATAAGCTCTAAAGAGCTGCCAGCTGCAATCAGAACACAAAAGAGCACAGCTCTCTAGAGTGCATTACCCTCTTCTCCTCCCCCCCCCCCCACTGCCTTCTGATATTTGTAGATTTCAAAGTCTCCCTTCCAATGAGAGGGAGGCTTCTGCCGGGAGACATCTACCTACTTGGACAGAAACTTGAGGCTCCATCTTGCCTTTTTTGTTTCTAAAACCAGCAAATATACAGGAGGGGAGTGCTCTTCTGACTTAGGGGTCATGAATCTCTGTTAACAAAATCTAACTTCTGATTAGGGAATCACATCTAGGGAAATCCCTCCATCCTAGAAAAACTGGGACAGTTGATCAGATCATTCATCTTATTTTCCCCAAACATCAAACTACATAATATACTTGCTTTAGAGTAGATCTTGCATATGTAAGGCAGTATCTGTCCCTACCTTTCAAAGTAGATCATTGATGATACTCAAACTTCTTTTGTAGCCAAGGGAGAAAAATGTCACTCTGTTCACAGACATCTTTAGTAGCTTGAACTCAATCACAACAATGTTTCCTTGACATCTTGGCAGCAACTTGATGGAAAAGTGCTGAAGGATACACACTTCAGCTCATTTCAGCTGTTTATCCCTCTTTCCTAATCTCTCTCTCTCTCTCTGTGTGTGTGTGTTTTGTGTGTGTGTGTGTGTGTGTGTGTGTACACATGCACTCAGCGTGTGCTGAGATAGAAGATGTACACACAGGCACACACAGAGGCCAGAGAATGATTTCAGGATGCCTTCTTCAATCACGTCTCCACCTTATTGTTTAAACCTGGAGCTCACCTTTTGGCTAGACTGGCTGGCCAACAAACTCAGAATTCATCTGCTTGAGTCCCCCCAACACGGGGGTAGCAGGTGTGTGCTACTACCTGGCCTTTACATGAGTACTAGAGGTTCAAACTCAGGACCTCATGCTTGTGGCCATTGGACCATCCTCCCAGCCCCAACATTTTCCAGGACCATCATGATCTTGACCTTTCTGTGTAATTTTTTTTTTTTTTTTTGAGACAGGGTTTCTCTGTATAACAGCTCTGGCTGTTCTGGAACTCACCCTGGACCAGACTGGCCTCGAACTCAGAGGATTCGTCTGCCTCTGCCACCACCACCACCTGGCTTGAATAAATTTTCTTAATCTAGCCTTTGCAGTACTATGCTGTTGTAGAGACCATCCCAAACTCAGACACTGCTGGTTCATTTGTAGTTACTCCATTATTAAACTTGATTACTTTTCTTTTAGTTTACAATTTGTCACGTTCCTCAGACATTCCAGCAGATACAACAACAATACACTTGCATTTTTCATCCAGGAGATTTACTTCTGCTTGGACAGTACTAGTGACCTCTGACTTTCAAAACCTTGGTGTTCTTCTCTAGCATCTCATTAACTATCACTGCTCAAC